GCAAGGGCTATTAAGCCTCGTTTCGGTGCAACTTCCGGTTTTTTCTGGAATCGGTGTATTGAGAGCAATTGGCGATTGTTAGCGCTTTTTGTCAATTGATACCAATTGATAAAAAAAAAAAAAATTATGTGAGTTCAATTGTTATTGATTGCAGATATCAACTGAGAGCAATTGGCAATTGTTAGCGATTTTTGTCAATTGATACCAATTGATAAAAGAATTTTATGTGAGTTTGATTGTTATTGATTGCAGATATCAATCAAGAGCAATCAGCGATTGATATCAATTGGTATTGATTGAATCGATTGATTTCCAATATCGATTGACTATGCCGGGAGTTGCTGCATCAGCTACATGTCATGTTGCAGTGTCGCTGCAGTTGGATAAAACAGAATTTTCAATTGATAAGGGTATAATTTTAGACCACAATTTTGTTCCCAATGCAGGCACAACACTTACGCTGTATTAAGAAGTAACTACACAATACTGTATGGTGTAAACAGTGTATGCAATATTCAGTTATTAGTGATTGTGCCTTTTGTTAGAAGAAATAGCCCAAACCTTGGCTTAAAAACTACATACTTAAAGATGATTTCCAGTCCATACTGTGCAGTCTCAGCACCCTAATGTTTATAAACATGATAAATCTCACTTGATGGAATGTGAATCTACACCTGAGAAAGTTAAAAATGCAACAGTCACCAGTCATTTTGGATTTGTGTTTGAAAAAAAATAAAACTTCCAGGGCAGGGAAATTCCATGATTATTGTGGCATCAGCGTTTTCAAAAAGCTCTGTTTTCAAAATGTATTCCATCCACACTAAAATGCAAAGTTGGTGTTTTCAAATTCCACTGGTTTGAAGAGCTTTTTTAAAAAAAGCTCCATTTTTGTGACAGATCAGTGTAGAAACTTAAGCCTAACCTTAGAGATAAAGCTACATGTTGTCATCATGTACAGTGTTTTCAAATTTCTCTGGCATACAATGTAGGTTGAATGGGGCCTTAGTTAGAGGTCTACCTAATGGGTTCATTGTAATTTTTTTACTGTGCAAGACACTTTTCTCCCATGTCAGTGTCTGTTTTCGCCCAAGTGTACAATTGGCACTAGTACCAAAGGCCAGCGAAAAAAATTATGTGTGTAATCCAACAAATAAATTACAGTAGTAACCATATATTAGACTGGTATCCCATCCATTGGAGAGTAGAAATACACCTATTCAAGTGATGGTGTGGAAACCATAAATAGAACCATTCTGACCATGACTGTTTTATTAAGTGTGCATAGCATGATTTTCATGCTAGGTCAATGTCAARGAAACAGGCCCACAACCTGTTATTGGCAGCATACATTTACTAACAAAAGTTATTTGTGTAATGTAATTATGTGCTAACCGGGGCATGTTTAAA